ACACAGCCACACCCCACACACTCACACAGCCACACCCCACATACTCACACAGCAGATCTGCACAGGCAGACGTAGACGACATAGCAGTGCAACACCACACGCCGGACGTACTCACAACCAGCCCATAGCCTTAACAGCACAACTGTCGGAACAACACTCTGATGTGAACAGACGTACACAGCAACCACCTGTGCAGCGAGTCTCGTGCCTGCACAGCCGCCCACTGTGTGCTCAGGTGCAGCTACGCCCATGCCACCCCAACTGTCACACCACAGTCTCACCTCAGGGCGAAAACTCTAAAACCCTAAAACCCTTAAACACCCAGTGTGGTGGTCCTGTGCCACTCACCTCAGCTGCCGTGGCACACACAGTGGTCAGAGTGAGCGTTTGGCGTGAGGTGGTCAGTGTCACTCGTGATTCATCTACACTCACAATCTCGTCGTCGGTACTGGCGTCGTCCTGTGGGTATGAGATGTGTATGCGGAGATGTGTGTGCATGTGGGTATGGAGAGATGTGTGTGCATGTGGGTATGGAGAGATTTGTGTGCATGTTTAGGGTAAGGAATATAGGGTTTGGGGTTTCAGGGTTCCGGATATATATATTTGGTTACACGCTTTCGCTATACACAATGCCTGATGTCTGGAAATGATTTGTGGCGACCGCCAGGTGTTTGTTGCCGTGGCCCTACTAAACCCTAAAACCCTAAAACCCTAAAACTCTTTTTAAGACGAGACGAACTTAGTTCTTAAAGGGATGAGTCTTTAGACTTTAGGGTTTAAGTTTAGACAGACTGTTGTTGTGGTACTTTAGGGTCTAAGGTTTCCTACTTTAGTTGTTTGGTTTATTTTCTTCAGCGGTTTAGAACCCCTAAACTCTAATACCCTCTCTTGGGTTGTAGTGCTTTAGCTGCGAAACGGGTAGTCGTTCGATAACCATAACCGATGTTATAACATATACACATAATAAGTTGCGATACACACACTCGCATGCTCAGATCTCTGATAACATCACAGTAGCCCATCGGGTCAATGGAGCACTTCACACTGCAGCAACATACTACCGCAAAGACACCAACAAGCAACTGCACTACTACACACCTACGGCCACAGGAGAACACCAAACCTTAACCCTACAGCGCTTCATACCCATAGAACCCTAAACCCTGAACTCTCAACACCAACAGACACACTAAAACCCTAAACCCTAGATCCCCACATACCCCATGCGTACCGTTTTGTGTGTGGTGTGGGTTGGTTGTGTGGTGGTTGTGCTGCGGGGTGTTTTGAGTAGTCCATGTGCGTGATTGCGGAGCCATTGCTGTGCATCTCTCGTGGCTTCCACCAAATCAGCATCATACGCAAAGTGATTGGGATACAGCCCCGCTCTAAGAACAGGAACATATGGAGAGAAAGTATCATACGGTGAAAATATGAACATATACTATCATACAGTGAAC